ATGTTCTGTGATTCTGTGATTCTGTGAACAGATTTAGGGATAAATCTACCTGGTACATTCAGGGTTTAGTCCAGAAATTGGATAATTCCACTCCAAAACAGTTAAAATGAAAGGCCTGAGATCTGTGATGGGTGCATTCCAGAAAGATAGCACAGGAATCCCAAAAATTCAACACCCCACTGCAAGTGCCAAGTCTTCTCTCAACATCATCCTCACATGCAGAATGCCTACCCCAGCCTATACCTACTAGAGACAAAAGATTTCCCCCCCTTCATCAGCATCACGACTGCACATTTGTGCACCCACCGAACAGTGCACAGCTGTGACACCTCCTACTCCCATCAGCACCAGTCTACCAGCCAGCCTGTTGGGTTCTTCACTGGAAGTCTGTAAGTCTCTGGCTCTGTAAGTCCTTGATGTTTGGGTCAAGGATCTGAGCAATTTCTTTATCAGAATAAAAAGGTCTCTCTGATACTAGTTTCAGCAAAGCAAAGCACAGAAAAGACATCATGCTTTCTTCCCTTGTGCACTCTCTTCTTACATCTTGTCATTTCAGGGATGGTAGGGATTAAGGAGATAAAAAATAGCACAGAAATCACAAAAATAAATTTTCAAAAGAAATAAAGGTGAGGGACAATAAATTTCAATGTAGAACCACACTGTACAGCAGAAGTTCCCAATTTAGTTGAATGAGTAAGGGTTTTATACCATGATCTGATTTGGTTACACTCCTTCAGTCAGAAGCTTCTTACAACAAGAGGAAGGAGCAGTAACAGTAATTCCTAAGATAAAATACAGTTTGGACCAAAGTTTGGAAAGCCTATTAGACTTAGGCTGCATGACAGCTTCTTCTGTGCCAGCAGTAATTTCTGTGCCTTTAGGACTGTCCATCTCCCTAACACACAGGCTGCTGTGTGCCTTAGTTCTAAGGAACGTAGTCTCAAATGCCAGCCTGAGAAGCTGACCTCTCCTGATGTTCAGCAAGCACCCATGCCTTTGATGGGCTGCTTCTCTACAGGGAAGACTCAAACAACCCAGCCCACGCTCCAACCATCCCACAAAGCTGCTGCAAGTCTGAGCACTGCCAGAGCTATTTCTCAGAACAACATTTCTGCCTCCAGGGCTAGGCCTGCTGCTTCTCCTGAAGAGAGATGGGTAAGATCCTGCTACTCCTGCGCTCTGTTCCCATGACGTACTCGAGGCATAAGGATGTCAGACACATGTGGACAGGCAAAGAGAGTCAGAATGGCCAAAAAACTTCTGGAAGTTCTCACATCTTGCTATCGGAAAAAAGATTATCAAAGTCACTCAGGTGACGCATGTGGGACAAGAATCTGAATGGAAAGAGAAACTGAAAGGACAGAAAACCAGCACCAGGTATGAAGCCCCAGAGCTCATAAGCCAGCTGCTAAAAGATATAGCTTGATATTTCACTAGACTGCCACACAGCTGTTTAGGCACTGGCATGTAATGCTGTCAAAATACAGCACTTGGTTAACAGAAACCAGATTTAGAAATCTTTTTCTGCTACCTGGCAGTTTTTGCAGGACCAGTATCACACATGAAACTATTAACAAAGAACGAAAAATATATTCACCCATGTTCCCTTACACTGTTCATCCAACAGTTGGGAGCATAATGCTAATCTCACTGTATGTAGTGTTTCATAAAGAATTTCAAAAAGCAAGTGGAGCCACATGCTGTTAGTATTATTAGTTCTTTCATGTGTCACTGATTTTTACGTATTTATTCCCCTTAAATTGTAAGAGAAACACAGCGTAACAAGTCACACTGACATGACAGGAGCCATGGGTGAAGTCAGAAAAAAGAAACTTGACAACTTGACCGCATTATGGTCAGAAGAGTAGGCAGAAGCTTTGCCAAGTTCCTCCTACCTGCCCCTGGAAGCAGTACGAGAATTAACACGTCCATGGGCTCTGGAGGGTGGGCTTTCTTCAACCACAGTTGGCATTTCAATCTCAAAATCTCTTGGCACATTCTGGATATTTGGCTCTGTGAAGGTTATTCGACCTGAGAAGAAAGACAAGGCAGAACAAAAGGAGTCTCTCTTACATGCTAATATGTGCAAGAATGAATAATACTGCTCAGTGAACACAAAAACTGTTCTAACACATACAGATTTTTCAGACAAATTCACGTGAAATAGGTATTTCAGTATTTTCATTTGGTATAAGTAGAACACAGGCTTGATTTCCTGTCTCTTCCTCATAGAAAAGCTGTCCACACGCACACAAAGAAAAAAAATCAGTATGTGAGGATTTTGCATGCGTTTCTTTACCTGTAGCTGTGTGAGTCTGTGACACTGGATAGATCCTTTCCATTCCCAGTGCAGAATTCAATCGCTTTTCCCTCTGGAGTGGAAATACCACTTTAGTAATGGCATTGTTGATCCTCCTCCATTCCAGTATCAGCCCTGGCAACGGGTGCAGTATCTTTAATTTCTCCAAAACATCCTTGTGGGGAGAAAAGGGCACAACTCTAATTAACTGCCTTAAAAGCTTTATAAATGAAGTTTTTGCAGTGCTGCAAGAAAAAGTGTCTCTTTCACCCACAGTGAACTTTCAGTGCTGGTGCCTTAAAATTAAATAGATACCCCCTCCACTTATACCACCTACACCTGAGCAATCAAAGCACCGTGAGGCACAGCTGCAGTTTTATTATACACAAGAAGGCCATCACTTCTCTTTGGACTTTTGCATTCCCATCACCATTCTCAATCTGCACCAACCAATAAATCACCTGAAATGATCACATAAAGCATCACTTGCCATAGGTCCCCTACGTTGTCTCCTCTTGCCCAGCGTTAATGCTCCTCCTCCGTCTTCTTGCATATTTTTCTCCCTGCTTTCTCCTATCCATACACTAGGAACACATTAAATGAAGCCCTTGACCACGCTCCTTGAAAGACAAAGCTGATCACTAGCAATCAAATCCTTTCAGTTAAATCAGAAATATGAAGGGACTAACAAGGATTTCAAAAGACAGTGGAATGCAAACATTTCTCAAAATAGCTTTTCTTTTTTGTATGCAGTAGGCAGCTGCAGCCTCATTCCTCCAGATCACAAAGGGAAGAAATCACTTTGCTTCTTGCTCCCTGCTCTGCCGCCACCACTGCACTCACTTCTTCACTGCCACTTGAGTTTTGGAAATCAGTATTTGTCTTCCAAGCACTGACTACACTGAACAAGGGGGAACGAAGAAAACAACACAGATTAATGAGTCCTAAAAACAAGGAACATATATATCTGCTAATATCACTTGTCTGGCAAAAGCACCCATTAGCCTGCAGCAGTTGGTATTAATGCAGCTCCACAATATTTATCAACTGGCAAGCATGTCAATAGCCTTCACATATATACAAGCTTTTGATATACTGAATTTGATAAGCCATCAGATCAGCCATTCTGAAGACAAATTCTCTGAAGCATAAAATACAGATATGGTAGCACCAGGCAGGCAAAATATTGTATTTAATCACCATGGTATTTAAGTATCTCTCAATCTGATGTTGAAAAATTATTCTACTATTGGCTTTACAAAATTATTGTGCTATTTTGGTCTTATGTGTGGTTTGGAAAATCAAATTCTGCCTGAATTATTCTTATTTAAACTTGCTATTTATAGTGATGTCCTCACGACACTCAGGCTTTAGGAGAGTAGGAGGAGTTAATAACCCTGCTAACAGAGAAGGCAGAATCCAGTTTGAATTTCCAGTGGTAACTGGAGAAGCAAAAAGGCAGTTAAAACTCACTTTCATTTAAGTCAGCATACCTAACTCCAACAAGTATCCAAGCAGCAGATGTGTGAAGTAAGCGTGAGTTATTTTTGCAGTCACTTTCAGGCTAGAACCAGACTTTACTGTACCTTGGTTGTACTGAACTGCTTGCTCAATCTAACGCTGTTTCCTTTAGCAGCTGCTCTTCTGGTGTAACCCAGAGTTTTCTTGTTCCCTTGAACTTTCACATCTCCATTTTGTGGCAATTTCAGCTCCAGGAACAAAACCTGAAAAAGGACAGCATTTTCAATCCATCAGTTTCTGCGTGCTACTCCCAGGAGAAAACAAAAAGCAACTGATCCACTTAAACAGCTTGTTACAACCAAAGGATAGTACAAATGCTTCAGGTAATTAAAAAGCTGATTAAAGATCTCTGCCATCAAAGTAATTCGTCCTCGTTTTAATTAACTACAAAATGCAATCTAAAATCTCATTTTCTGAACAGTATAAGTCTGAGTTTAGAGGTATGTTTTTAGAAAAGGTAATTAACTCCATCCAATAAGTGAGGTTACTGCTGGCAGTCAACTGTAATAAAACGTGGAGCTAAGATGACTAAAAGTGGGAAGAACATTGGTGGGGAAAATAAAGAAGCATTAGCAGGCAGCAGGCTTCAGAGCAACAGGAATGGCATAGGAGAAGGTGGTCACAAACACCTATCATAGAACAGCCAGAGTATTAGTTTTTCCAAAAAGTTGCCAAGAACTAAAAAAAATAAGTATGTGTTTAGTTGCTGACAGGCAGTACGCAGTCCTCATTTTTCATCCTATGTTTCTATGTAGCATTATACACTATTTAGCAGCTATTGTGTTTCACTGCATAGCTGGCAGAAAGGAACAGAAGCTTTTCTCTTGCGCATTTTTGTAGCACAAAAGTTTTGCTGACACAAAATTAGAAGGGTAAAGCTCTACTGACCTATACAAGATACTCTACACGATTCCTAACAAAATTTCCACATGAGAAACAAGCTTCTGAAGTTCAGAGAACAGCATTTCAGAAAAAAGCCTTTCCTTTCCCTTTTCCATGAAGCAGAGCGAAATTGGAGCCAAGCATTATTTCAGGATCTAACTCAGGGTACTGTTACCAGGCAAAACTTCTGCATTTGCAACAAAGGAGGAATATTTCTGTAAAACTTCTTTAAGTGATGGCTGCTTGCAAATTTTGACTATTTCCATATAAAGTACAGCTCCTCAGCAAGAAATTACTATATAGAGAAGAAATAAATGGGAAGAAAGCATGCACAGCCATTACAACCTATTCCTATGATTCCATGTAAAATACACTAAAAATATCTAGCAAAGTTCTTCAGGAATGAAAGTACTGCTGATTTACATAGACATTTGTTTCTTAGGCTTAAAAACCAGTTCTACTCAGGTTCTTCAAAACAGACAGTGGTTGGTTCAAAACTTTTGAAGCAGTCTTTCCTCCTCTTCCATGCCTGTATAGAGACAGGTAACAATGCAACTTACTCAGTACAACTGTTCTTAGACTCAGACTACATGATATGACATCACACCTCGTGTGCAGAATACTGGCATTGCAAAAAAAGCTTCTCTAGTGCTGCATCATTCATTCAAAATATTACAAAAGCCAATTAATTGGCAGATCATCTCACAGGACATAAGAAACCAGGGTCCTACACAGAACAACATGCTTATTTCCGCTTGTTTCTTTTTATTTCCAGCATGCTTATTTCCACTTTTACCTTCTTTGTTTCTGATAAATGTAGCAGAAATCAGAATGATCAGTAACAAGCAGGAGACCCACGGCACCATGCAGGCAGCAACTCACAATGAGTGAAATGACAAATCAACTCTGAGCAGAGCTCAATCTGCATTGTGTCTGTTCTTCATACGCAGTCTGCCCAAGGGTTTTTTCTTAAGTCTAAACAAAAACCGCTTCAGGGTTAACTTCTGAGAAAGCTCTCCCTCTCCCACCCCATCCCTCACATACCTCTGCAATGTCATCAGGGCTGGTCAAGGAGAAGCTGTGCCCTGCCAGCTCATAGGCCTTGGTCTCAATCTCGCTCAGTTTAGCTTGCATGACTTGTTTCTGGGTTTCATACGCTGTTGTGCTAAAACCAATGCCATTCAGCTCCAGCAGAGCCAAGCAATAATGGGTGGGCATCTCCACTTTAGAAAATACATCTGTAGTAAGCACAAACCCCAAGAAATACTTTTATAGCATCAAAAACAGATAAACTGCAGATCAACAGATTCATAAAAATACAGCTGGAGAATCCTCAATTTCTGAAATCCTGAATGTCCTGATACACTGAAGACTTTTTATATAGATTTCGGTTAAATACTTTTGCTTCTGGAATATTTCATAACAAGAAATATTGCATAATAAGCAGCATTCCAGAATTTTTATCACGAAGTATTTAAGAGAATAACAACTTCTGACAATTATTTTTTCTATTAAATACACATCTCTTTGTATATCAGCATTTTATGAACCACAGACATGGATAGTTAATGTAAGTTTTAGTGTAAAGCTTTCTAACTTGATAAACTTTTTTTCCACCACCCACATCTTTAAAAAATGTTCTGAGGTTTAGTGAACCCTAATTTTAGACTCTGGATACAATTTAGGGTAAACAATCATAAAGCCCACCAACAGGTAAGTGCTTTTGGCTGAGGAGGGGCGTTGTTTGCTTGTTTTTATACAGAGACAAGCATTCAGCAAATATGAGTGCAAACACACTGGATCATTCACTACAGGGTCACAGAAGTTTCATGGACAGAACACATACGTGGCAAACAACGGGCAGGCCAAAGAGCAAGAAGTCTCCTTCAGAAAACATTTGAGGATTTTAGGAATTGCTTCTGACAAGAAAATGCAAAAGCTTTTTAAAATGTACACGAGAAACAACAGAGACCCACAAGTCCCCTCAGAATGGCCAGGCTACTCACCTGGGAGGTAGAGGTCTGCTTGATTCAGAGACTTAAAGCAGACCCTGCTATTGCCTTAACCAATGGAACTGGTGGATATTTGGCATATAAAAACTGTACTTTAGCTTTTTTGACAAAACAGAGGTACTTCCAAAGGAAGTTCCCTCTTTTCTTTTAACAAATGAACATTTTGCCACCGAATATACTTAGGAAAGAAGTTCCAAATCTCCCCTCTTCTCCACTGACCATTCAGCCTGTGACAGCACAGCTACCACTACCCTCCATCTCTGCCCCCAGGTGGAGGAGCTCTCTTTACCTGTCAGATTTCCCTTCTGTAATTCATTATGGAGCTGGTTCATGACATGGAAGATAAGCACAGACTCTATTGCTGCTCTGTACCGCCCAGAATGGTCGCTGCTGGCACTAAGCCCCAGGCTCTGCACCCCTTGGCCGGTGCCTACCCCTTCCAGCAGAGGCAGCTCGTGGGGGAGGAAGTTGGTCACCATGTTGTGCAGTGTACGTTCCTTGGAGCCGGAATCAAGCAGCCAGCATGCAACCTTAGAAAGGGAGACTTCCATGAGACCTTGTTTCCATTTTAGTCATAACACAACGTAGATATTTAACTGGGGGTTAATGCAAGGTTATAGTGCAGATTATTTTTCTTGATTTGGCAGGCAGACTGGAATAATTTGTGAAAAAGTTACATGATTTCAGATAAAACCTTCAGGAGGGCATAAGTCACTGAAAAGCTTCATTCTTACTCAGAGTTAATTCTGCACATTTGAAAACCTTATCCTCTGTCAACTAAACACATCTAGAAGAGTTGCCTTCCATTTTTTTTCATTTATTAAAACCTAATACAAAAGGGATTAAATAAGAAAACCAGGATCAAAACATGTTTAATCTGAAAACTGACTGTGTGAAAATCAGAACTTGCTATTGATCTAGAATATTAGTCAAGCTGAGCTCTCCTATTTTTTTGCACATCAGCACTAGTACCAAGAATTCTGCAAGGCAAATTTTGTTCACAGTAAGTCTCATACCTCCCACTGTCTTCAAAGCAATTTCACTTATAGCTATATTTCAATTTCTTGTGTCAAAATAGGATGAAACACAGGTTTCTGCATTGTCTCTGCCATGCAAGCAGAAGGTAAAAAACCACATGTATAGAAATATATATATATGGGGGGGTGTCAGGTTTATGAATGTGTGTGTATGAATATATTCATTGCATCACTAAAATGAACAGATCTGAGTATGACTCCCTTTAATGCATGGAACAGTGCAGGAAAAGGTGATACTTTTATTGCTCTTTAATTTTATCCTAAAACTGTGCATCAGTATGCAAGGTTTGTCTTTGTGTTGAACACCTTAGCTACTTACCAGCAGACCCGAATACTGCCATGGTGCTATTCAGCCCTTGTGTGATGTGAGCTTTAAAAATCAACACCAAAAATTTTAATGCTTCTAGAGCTTTTCCTAACAAGGACAAGAAGGTGCTTTTACCTCTTTCTAGCATTTCATTCAAGTTAAAAATGGCATCCAAACCTTCTGAAATTACATGTAAACTTCGTTTTGTTTTGAGAAATAGTGGTAGCAAGGTGGTCCATACACACAGCAGGTAAATCTTTTGCTTACAAAGACTTAAGCTCTCAGAATCAATAACCTGACCAGAAGCACTTCTGTCATTTCAGTCCCAGGCTTTTATTGCAACACCTCAGTCCTGTCCGCTGGGACAGGGGAGAGACTTAATCTCATTCCTTCCCACCCAAGCAGTCAGGTGTGAAAGGTTAATATGTTAACCTATCACTGAACCTGCTGCTTCTCTTGCAGGCACCACGAACACACATAGCAAAAGAAGTCTCCCCTAAATACGCTTCTAGATTTCCCACTGGAAGAAAATTTCACTAAACCCCATGACAGATGTGCATATTCAAATCTAAATAACAAAAGGAAAGTACCAGAGGGTACTCTTGTCTTTCCACTGATGTGTTTAAAGTAGTAGCTTTACCCAAGCTAAATTTCTTAATCCTGCAAACCTTTGGGTCCTCAAAACTTCCTTCCAAGGAGATGCCACAAGCCATCACCAGAGTCTTGTAGTGCTGAATGAAGTTATACATGACAAGTGAGCGCTCCTGCTTGGGCTTCTTCTGCAGGTACCGCTGCAGATGATACAGTCTCTCTGTTACAGGCAGGTTTTTGTCCAAAGGTGGTGGTGCCAAACTCATACTGATTTCTAAGGCAGGAAATACAAGCAAAAATCATATTTTTACCCACTGCATGAAAAGAAAGGCAAGAGAAAAATCCTGAATGCAATGACCTAAGTCACAAAAACTACAGTTGGACTGTGAACAAATAACAATAAATTTAAACCAATATTACATATTTTATCAAACCAGACACAGCTACCAGAAGCCATATGCTGTGTCTCTACTACTAAACAGAGGATAGCTAGTAATTAAACTCTAGTCACGAGTCCATGTAGCTCAGATTGGGTTATGTTCAGCATTCTAGTGTCAGATTTGTTCTGAAGAGCAAAAATTGGAAGAGGTTGAAAGAGAAAAGCAAGTAAGCTAAAGAGAACATGGGAGTAAGCTATCATTTCAGCCATATGCATACTCAGCAGTCCAGTGCTTGAGCCAATTACCTGGCCTTACTATACAGCAGCACAGACGTATCCACAGCAACACGTTCAAGGGTGTTCAACACTTAAGACTGTTGAATAATATGGCTAAATTACAACATCACACAAGTGAGCTGGGTCTGCTACACTCAAAACACTTCCAAGAACCTACCTGCTGCAGGAACTGCCTTGAGCCTGTCCGCTCACTTACCAGTCTGGTCTTGTGTCTGCTGCAAAGAGATATAGTAGGCGTCTTTTCCACCCCAACATACTGCCAGTCCAACGACCAAGATGTCTTCACAGCCTTGGATGGGAAACCCATCATCTTTAACTTGCATCCACTGAGGAGAACTTACTGAAGGAATAGTAAAATTTAAGTTACAATTATAAAATCGCAACCATAAATACAAAGAGTTTGGATCCTAAAAATGTAAATAATACAGTATGTAAATACATATTATATGTATTTAATTAGCTGAGCCTAAGTTTTTTAAAAGTGAATACATACATAATACATTTTTATCTATAGGGAGAAAAAGCTGTTTCTTATGAAAAAAACCCACCAAACTAAAACAAAACCAAAAACTGAACATGTTTAGAACAGCAAAACTTTCTCTTAACAGAAACAACCACCCATATAGCATCCCTGCAAAACTCTGGACTTTCCTAGCAAACTCGTCACAAGCTGAAACAAGTATGTATTCCCTTCTTTCTCTCTGAAAAACATTTCACGTTTCTCTGTTATAAATCCATTTTGATAGTTAAGAAACTTTGTTGCTGTTACGACAATATGACAGCAAAGAACCTAACCGTGCTTAATCATGTAATTTTAAACAAAGAGTATGTTTATGCAGCAGCAAATGAATACTTCTGTGGAAAAAAATAAAGCAACATTGCAAAAATCCAGAGACTGATCTGAATTTCACACATACTTATATTGAACCAAGTTTACTTTTGCAAACTCGAAAATATTTCACCTTGGTTCAGAGGCAATCCTGCAAGTAGCACAGCTCAGTGGAAAACCTGAACAATCTGTACGGTTTACTCCTTAATATATTATTCATTTTAAAATATACTAAAACTTGGTTTTGACACAGGAAAGTACAGGATAAAGGGACTGCACAACCCAAACCTGCTTCAAAATTAGATATACAATAAAATGTTAAGACTATTTAGATGCTCTGAAGTACAAACAAGCTGCTAACACTTCATTGCTATCCCCAAAGACCTACCAATGAAATGTTTGACACCAATTCTCCACCCTCTACTAACACTCAGCTCTTTTGCTTTACCGAGGCTCACAATATTCAATTAATATCAGTAATTTTCTTCTTTTCTTGCAAACCCTTTCCTTCTCCACTCCTGCTTTAAGCTGAAGATGCCACCCTGCTGTTCACAAAATAAGCTCTGGAACACAGAACTGACCTTTTCGGAATTTGCCGCCAATCGTTGATTTGGGAGACAGAAGAGATTTTGTTCTTTCACAGGCCACTGAGATGGAGAATCTGCTTTTCTCCTTCCATTCTGCAACAAAAGTCTGGAAAAGTGCTTTGTTGCTTGCCACATCAATGATAGTGAAACTTTCATCACTTAAGGGAACAGGTGAGAAAACATCCTGAGACAGCTGCAGTGAAAAGCCATGGTCTATAGTGGAATCATCTTTTATCTCATCGGTTTCAACTGGGCCTGCAGTCCCAAGACTGGCCTGGAGTGATGTTACCTGCTGCTCTGCATTGCTCTCACTATTCTGCTGTGGCTGAATCAGCTGCCCGTCATGCACACAGGCAACTTGGCTTTTCCTTGCTGATTTCAGAGAGAGAGAAACAGAACTCTTTGGGAAAAGCTCTTTGGGGGGTGTTGGAGGAATAAACGTGCTATTGCTGTCTGGTGGAGGACAGGATGTTCTGTTGCTTCCCCTGAGTGGCAGTGTTTTGCAGTCTGTTTTCTGAAGATCCAAGTCTTCCGTTTTTCCTTTAACCTTGAAATAGCTTTCCAAATCCTGGCAAGTGGGCAAAGGCTCTGGCTGACAACGGTCAGATTCAAAAACTGGATCTGGGGCTCGATTGGTAATAGGAGCAACTAACTTTTCTTTCAGACAGGAGCTTACTGAAACTGGTTCGATGCCTGAGGGACTGGGCCATTTGTCCAATACATCCTGCAGTCCTGGGCTTAGTTCAAACGAGTGGTCAGTCCACACCACTGAACGGGTTTTCCTGTCTAAAGCTTGCTGACTTCTCTGGCACTTTTCACCTTGATCTCCTACTAAATTTGGTCTGTGGTCACTGTTACAGATCACAGGGTTTCTTAATCCTGACTGACCATCAAATGTAGACGGAAGATCATCCAGAAAAGATGGGGAGTTAGCATGATCTAAAACTTCAGCTATTAGATGAGAGCATTCTAGAGACTCGTTACGCTGCACAAGGTCCTCATGCTCTTTCTGATTCCCACTGACATCAGACTTATTCTGAACAGGCCTTAGGTTCTGCAAAAGACCTTCTGGAGGAAGCAAAGCCCCCTGTTTCTCCACAGGTTCTTTTCTGTCAGCTTCCACAATGTGAACAGCTGAAAGGTCGCTGACATTACTGAAGCTATCATCGAACAGCAAGCTATCACTCATATTCAGGCTTGTTTCGGAGACAGGGTGGCATTCCACTTGTACAATGTGCTCCCTACCAAAAGGGGAGATTGTTTTATTGAGGTCTTTAGATGCAGTCTCCCCTTTCACTGCATTTTGAGTCTGGTAATCTTGTAGAAAACTGTGCAGCTGGGAGTCCGTCACTGAGAAATCGCTTTCTTTAAGGCAACGTGCAGATTCTATTTCCTTTGTTGTGGGCTGTAAATTAAGGTCTCCAGACTCCAAAACTTTATTATTGCAGTGCTGAGCTGTGTTTTTTGTAAGGCCATTTGTTGTGATAAGACTTGATAAGCCCAGTTTCCTAACTGTTGCAGCCAGCCTTTCATCAGTAGCATTCTCAATCCATGAAGTGATTAGTTTCTTGGAGATATCCTGCCCTGGCATTGCTGCCAGCTGTGACCTTTGTATTCCCTGCTGTCCTGTGATTCCAGCTGCTCCCTCCTGTTTTATTATCATCTCAGTTTGAGTATCCAACTGGAAGCTGTCTTCAAAGTCTCTAGAGTGAGACAACAGGTCAGAGGATGGCCCGTTCTGAACATCACCTGCATTGCAAACACCTCTGGATTTTACCTGAGAGTCTTTCGTAAAATCCTTAGTATGACTGTTGGCTTTCTGCAGTGCTCCAGCTTGTGACAATATTCCATTGGGCTTTTCGCTCCCATTTTTGCCACCATTCTGAATCTGAATATGGCAGGATTTATCCTCATCAGGGCAAAAATGTACACGCTTCTGTATCCTGCTGCCACTAGGGACAAGTCCATTGCCAGAGCAGCTAGCAGTTACATTACAGTGATCTGTATCTAAAGCCATCTGCTGCTTAACAATCATCACCTCAGCACAGCTCACATCTGTTTGAATTTTATTCATTTTATTCTGCTTATCATCAGTATTTTCATTTCTCTGTGTCCTAGCACTAGCAGGTATCACTAGACTTTCTACAATGTTACTTGTCTCCACATTGATGTGTGGAGTACCCGGCAATGTAACAGGTGTCTGAAAACATGCTCTACCCTTCAGCATGACTTCATTAGTGCTCGTAGGCTTTGTAAATAATCCTTCCATTTTATCTTTCTTCCCAAGATTAATTTCCCCCATCTGTACAGAATTTGAGACTTTATGAGTTACAGACCCTGTTTCCACAAATGCTTTATTATTTTGGTCTGAAAATAAATTATCTTTAGAGATGGTGGGGTGGAAAGCAGGTGGCTTTTCTATGTCTACATGAAGCATATTTGAATCTTCAAGAAGTGACCTCTGCAGTTTTGAAGCAGCATTTTCATTCCTAGTCCGGTTTAAATGCATGTCTGTACTTTTTACCAATCTAGAGGCTGAAGACTTCATTCTCAATGTTGGTGTTTTCCCTTGTCCAGCAGGGAGTTCTGGAATTGCTCTCTTGGAATCCATCTTGGTTTTGACCATAGAAATTCCTTCTATGTTCTCATTACCTCTGCACATATTTGGCCATTTTCTAGCGCTGTGCACAATACCAACATTGCCTTCCTCTGCTCGAGCCTGTTTCCTGCCTGGGACTTCACTCTCAAATCTTGAGTTTTCTGTACTACTGCTTAGCCGCCTTTTATATCCCTTTTTAATATTTGAAAAGTTCCCAGTCTGAGAACCAAGGCCGTTACAATGTTGGACTCTGCACCCTTTTTTGCTTAATGCCCTAAAAGACTCAGAAGACCACTCTCCATTTGATCTATGTAGTCTGTCTTCCAGTTCTGACTCACTGCTCATCATAGAAGATGTATCAGACTCCAGAAAAGACTCTGGGTTCCACTGCACTCCCATCAGCGCCAAGTCCTGCTGGAGAAGTCCTCTGGCTTCGTCCACAACGAGGGAAGCTGCTTCTCTTTCGGTTAAGCCTTTCATTCCAGCCATCCAGATGCTGCGCACAGTCCGACGCTCCTCTGCTGATTCTTCATCTTCATCCACAGCCCTACGAACACTATGGGAAAGGTAACAGACACATGTAAACATTCATGCAGAAAATAATAAACAACACAAGGAGCTGCCACTACTCTGCTACATTCCCATTTCAATTAGTTTCACAGCTTCACAGAAGCACTATATCCAAAATACAGAATGACAGAATCATTAAGTTTGGAAGAGACCTCTAAGATCATCAAGTCCAACCGTCAACCTAACACTACCATGCGCACTGAACAATGCATTTAATAGGAAATATCTATTTCCGTTTTCTGTATATGGATTTATGTCAATGAAAGATATTACTGGGTGCATACCCCCGAAGCATTCCCTGGTTTGTGTGTCCAAACATATACCCCAGAGGAGTTCCAATTCCCTACTACAGCAAGATCTAGATCTGAATCAATCCTCCTCCATGCACAGTTTTCCAAAGAAAAGAAACTTCAGGAGCATGAACCAGACAAGTGTCATGGCACAGTCCAACAGGTACTTGATGAAGGAAGCCCGTCATTGCACTAACATGGAAATCACAAGAGAATCTCAAATCATATACCGTAATAAATCAACTCATTTGACCATATGGTGGAACTGCCTTTTAAAGGCAGTTAAGCAGAGGTCTCCAGAAAGCATTAACAATTCACAAAAGACTAAACAGTGCCTTCAAAAGAAGAACAAGAAGAAAATTTAGGTCTCTGCTTCTATTAATTTCAAAATAATCATGGAATGACTGTGATCAGTCACAGTGACCTATAAATTACTTCTAACTAACATTTGGCAGCAGGTACCAAAAGGCTGCTGTATTTCATTACAGGCTTCATCCTGTAATTGTTCACCTTGCAAACTCCTTTACTTGACTTCTGGACTTACTGATTTCTCACCTTTTGAATGGTACTGAATTCTTCAGAGCAGCTGCCACATCGTCAGGACTGGCTTTAGCAAGATCGGCCACAGTGACAAAGCCAGCGTTGTACAGTGTCCTAGCACGCTGTGCATTCAGCAGAGACACTCGTACCAGGTCACAGAGCTCCCTATGAACCCCAAAAGTGAGGCGGCTCTGGAACTGAGACAGCAACAGCTCCATGTTGTGCCAGCCCAGTCGATTACAGAAAACCGTCACCATTCCTGGAACAGAGAAGTTACATCCATGTCTTAACTCCAGCGCCAGTTCTATTAAACTGGATTCATTTTACCCCCTCATCTGAATAGGCGTTCACTTTACATTGCTCACCTTCCCATTGCTTACAGAAACTAACTCATGTTTAATATAACTATGACTAGGAGCTGGTCTCACAGAACTGCACTTAATCTAGAATGAACTAGTTTATGAGGGAGGTAGAAAATCTGAACGACACTGCTTTTTCAAAGACGCTAATCTCAAAAGTGTGAAGCACATGCATATCCTGCAACAGGGTTCCTATCAACTGAACACACTGAAGAAAAGAAGACAGAAAAAGCAGTGATGAAGGGCAGTAAGAGAAGCCATGGATCTTTGAGGAAAGCCAGCACTGATGTTCATAAGAGCAGAACTCGGCCTGTAGAACTTCAGTTACCAAGAGCATCACAGAAGGCAGCAAAGCCTATGATATGGTTACAACTGCAGTCCTCAGCATATGGGAGGAGGAAAAGGGCAGGAAAAATACAGTTTCTTACTCACAGATTGCATCTACAGAATACAAAAATAATTGAAAGACACGGCATCCCTCACTATTTTTACCGTGATTACAGAATACAACCTTTATCATATCTCTTAACTATATGTCATGTCAACAGTTCATTTTACTTTCCAAATTACTTTTGTGTAAATTGTTAACACTGTGAATAGAGAATTACAAAACTGCCACAACAAAAAGTTATTTATACTACCAGAATTAATTTAAACTACTCTGCATCAGTTGATGTGACCTTTCCATTTCGGGGCTTTGACTCATGCTGCAACCCACACATAGGGCTTCATAAGTTGAGCTAAAACTGTCTTAAAAATTGAAGACCCACTTATGGAGAAATGGAGGACTTAGGCAATAGAAAAAAAATAAATCTTAGTCACATGGTGGGCTGTTTTTTCTATTCCTACACAGCCCTCTTAAGGAAGTTAAGTTAAAGGTGACAGCTATCTGACCTCTTGTTATCTGGTGATAAATGACCCAGAAACTACTCACTGTTTTGAAAACTCTAAACTTACACTTTCTGGCCAATTAACTTTGCAACCAGGAGAAAACCATGCTAAGTCTTAGAGACCTCAAACTTTACCCATGCTGAAAGGTACTCTTTCCTAATAGAGCAAAGCTTTGGCATGGACTTGTACTTAATTTCCATACTTAGTATTGAACAAACTACATTCCTGCAGAGTACACAGATGATTTCCACAGACTTCAGCATGCTACAGCAATGCTTGATTCCTCTCAGCTGGCCCCCTTCCCACAGCACACTCTGTGGTTCCACCTTAAAGCAGGGGCAACCACAGATCAAGCTATAAAGCTGAGAGTGGTTTGACAAAACTGACTGCTGTTAGTACCACACAGCAGCTTATCCCCACATCTGGAAGGAAAGAAAACAGATTAGCCTAAGACTCCTAGGGTATTTTGCCCAGACAACTCACCAGCGTAGGTGGCAGCAGACTGCTGCAAGGATTGAAGCTGGCCACGACTACAGCCATATTTCCTCGTCATATCCATTAAGGGAACCTCACTGATTAAATCCAGAAGAGCAAGACTGGTGAAAAACCTGTAGAAGTACACATGAAAATAAAATCATCATCCAAGGCACATTAGTGCACCTGGCAAAATGCACTGTGATAGCAGAGGACAGAATAGTACTACAGCGTAGCACAGAAAAGAAACATCAGCTCAAACATCTTGTGCCAGCAGTGCTCTCTGGCCAGAGCAGAGCAGGTCCAGGTTCTCTGAGCTCCCTCAGCACAACAGCCAGTTCCTGGAAACAGACACAGAGCCCGTCCACTCCACATGGTACAACCTCTAGTCTTCACACATTCACGCCCATTTGTGGCTACCTTTTGTGGATGGCCATTTGTCTCTGCTGTTTCTCTGTTTTAGCTATGATTTTGCCCTTTACAGAGCGAGCCAGAAAGCATTCTTCAATCCCCACCAGCTCAGCCACACGTTTCATTGAGGCAGGCAGCTTCTCCCATAAGCAGAAAAACTGGTACCAATCAATTGTGGTCCACTCCTCATACACTGGGGTGACCTGAAGGAAATAAGACAACGCAAAAAACTATTTCAGAGAAACAAACAGAACACAGAGCAGTGGGTAAACAAAAATATGGCGTAGGGAATGTGGTTAGAGCATCCTACGCGCTACTCAGAGGCACTGAGTCAAAACCACGTACCCAAAAGAAAGTAAAAGCTCTTCTAACCTAGTTTTTTTTAATATTTGTATGGATGAGATCTGACTCATATGGGTAATCTAATGATTAAACCATTTGGAATCTTTGTCAGATTGCTCCCTAAATCCTAGATTTTTAAGCTGCATCTATAATCTCCTCTAACAAAATAAAAATTGATTCTTTTTTTAACAAAACTGACAGATATCTGTCAACCTCTTAAAACCACACTAACCACTGCCACGGCACCTGATGAAGCCGGAAGAAGCATAGATTTTGCCAGAACTCACTGAAGCTTTCATTTATCTGGAGTGAAAGAAATCTCAGCTTTTCTTAACACTAACAAAAAAGCCATCCAGAGCATTCCCACACTTCTAGACAGAAAACCAATTCTGTTATCATTTAGTTAGTGCAGAGACAGTTTTAGTATGAGGAGACAAAATGTCTTCATATCTGTATCAATATACAGCAAGATTAATTCTTTTGAAATAACTAACAGTTGTTGGGGAGCATTTAACATAGAAAAGAATACCAGATGCCTATGTAATTGTAAATCATCCATGCCTCTTCATCTACTGAGACGAACAAGAGGTTATTAAGGCAGGGGATTGTCTGCTGTTGTTTGTTAGGTTTCTGCCAGTTTGATTTTTTTCTTTAAAGAAAACTCTTTTCCTAGCCTAGCAAATACTTACCAGTTTTAATCAACTTTCCTAAAATACAAGGCCTTGGAATTCAGTCTCATATTTGTACAAGTAAAAGATTCAAGCCCAAGAGAATTAAAAAGCATTATATATTTAAAAAAAAAAAAAAAGCTACCAAAGCTAAACAAACCTTCAGCCTTGAAAATTGCAACAAAACATTTTGGGCTAGCTTAACGGAAGAGAATCTCAAGAACATTTTGTGCAATATTATATTTGATTTAAAATAGCATTAGACAAGCTGCTGTGATTAAAAAGTACAGGGTAAAAACAAATACATCGCCATCACTGTCTTTACACCAGAACACAAACAAAATTCATCATTTTTTTTTTCTGTTTTGGAGACGCAAACAAGGAAAAAATTCACTGGTGCATGACACAAAGCAGTCCACATCTCCTAGCAGAAACAGAACAAAATATAATATGTCCCTCTGAAACAGATATGGGTACATATGAGACACCAGTAGATCCAAAAAAACCCTAGCAGTATCAGCCAATAACTCAGTTAATGAACACAGCAAGCAGAGACAGGCACCCTCAGTCTCTTGCCTCCTCCTGCCCCCTAGCTCAACAACTCCTGCAACCACAAGCACATTCTACTTGGAGTGAACTTTTTCCCCCCAGCCAAGATGCGCAAATGTTGCCTTGCATTTATCAGCCTGGTAAAAAAGAGAGTATGCTTTATATTTAAGGAGGTTAAAGTTGACTCTCTGATTTCTGAGGATGACTGCACATTGGGCCTCTGGCAGCCATGAATCCTAAGATGTTCACTGCAACTCCATCTTGTTTCCTCACTAATCTTCACAGGTTCATGGCTTCCTCTCCAAGGGTCTTAAATAGCATTGCTTAGCTTTGTAAGTGTGTGTGCAAGTAAATCTTGAGAAACTTTGGGACACTTTCCCCTCAAAAGATTTAGCACTCTCCTTCCTCTAGCCCTGGCAGCATCACGAGGCAAGTAAACTAAATCAGAGATGAATTCTACTGTTACTGAACTGTAGAAAGGCCCACCCACAGGAAGGAAGCAGTATAGTGCTCTGAAGCTTTTTGTAGACAAAATAGATGCTAAAACACCAAAATTTTTCTGAAGCTCCAAAAGTAATCTGAAATGCAGCCTGCTGATCCCAAACACACAACAAAACCAATTTGTTTCATTGGCTCCAAGTGTCTCAGAAAAACTACCACTATCCTACACCCAAAACTCACAAAGTTCTGAAATCTTTCAAAGTCAGGAGTGACAACAGTGGGCTTAGACGGACATGCAGCACCTGTCTACACCACAGACACTATGGGAACTGACTAGTTCTGAAGAACATTCCATTTAGAAACTTTTCTTCATGAAATATGAGCTAAGCAAAGCACCCCCACCCCCCACAACATTCATGGAGCCCTCAGGAACTTTGCATTGTGCTTTCCCTCCTTTCCTTAGTTTTGGCAGTACAAAATACGAAACACAGAAAGACCTACCAAATAGACAATATGCAGATCGTTCTCCAGAACAAAGCTTTTCATAGCTCGCTGCAGGTCAGCAAAGATTTCCATGGCTTCAGTTGGTGAAAGAGAAGAGGAAAGAGTAGCTGAGCCAAGGTGTGTTGGATGATAAACCTTTGCTGTTTAAAAACAAACCAAATACACAAAGAAACATCTAAGTGCAACTTTATGTCTCACTTTCAGGTTGCAATTTATTTTGTAGATATCAATTCTACTAACTTTTCCCAACTGCTTTTACAGGAAGAAATAGCATAGTTCTCCATTCTGAAGACAGGTAAATGGAAACAGTAAAAGGCCTAAGTCTAAAACTGCCTTTTGCAGAGGCCAGATAACAAGCTTGGATTGCTCTAACTACTCAAACTAACAGCTGTGACAGCTATTTGGACAAAAACCACTGGAATCCCATCTGTCATCCTGCCTTTGCGTTCTCATTTGAAACACCAAATATCACCTATCATCTTTTCTTACAATGAGATAAAAATGAACTCATAATGGGGAATCTTACTATTACTGTAAGAGTCTCACCCTTAGCCATTGTAAGAAAATAGCCAAAATTAGGAAGAAGTGCAACCAGGCACACCAAGCAGTTCTAGAAGAGATTTGCACTCTCTTAGAATGTACTGGTGCTTATACAAAAAGACAAAAATCATAGTCTACAGTTAATGAGCACAAATCCTGTAGTAAAAGCATACCTTGTTTAAAGATAGTTTAGGAATTAGTAGACTAGGATGCATCAGTTGTGGATGTGACATGCTGAGAGGCCTTCCAAGAACATGTGCATGCAAAAAATGTTAAGGCAGGTAAAAAGACACCCTCCAGAAAGCTAAAAAATTATTGATACATATGATTCTTTAAAACAAAACAAAAAAATGCACAGAAATCCTCATTACAAAGTTATACTGAATATCTACCCCACTGCAGAAGATTTACTGATTCAAAACTGCAGACTGCAATCACTGGGAAGAACACCAGTGTTACCTTTCACACCATTGCCAGCATCCAGGACCTGAATGAATTCGTTTTCCAGCAGCCAGGCCACACAAGCCTCGATAGGTCCAGTCTGTGCTTGGTCTTGTGCCTTCTCATTTCCCCATTTGCTTTCTTTCAAGCTGGATGCAAGAAGAGTGCAAGAAGCGTAGGTCTGCACATCATCTGGAGAGTTGGCCACTCCTCCTACTATGATCTGTTGGAGAAAACCACTTGTTCATATTGCCAGAGAAGCAGTAGGAGGGAACATCAAGCTAGAGAATCAAAGAGATTGATCCATCAGATACGCAAGTTTTAAAGACTCACAAGAGAGGAACAGGAGGCAAAGCAACTGCCAGCATTTAAGGACCTTTCTTGGAAGGAAGTTAGACACCTCAGGTAGAAGTAAGAGGACTAAGCTACAGGAAAGAATGAATTATCAAATCTTATTTTGATAGCAGACAGAACATATAGTAGCAATTTAGATTTGAGACTAGCCCTAGGCATTTTGTTTAGCCAACACTGTGAAATACTTGTAAAAGGTTAGAACACAAACTGCAATTTTCTGAAGACAAAAAGCAAACCAGGAAGGAGGAGTTCTCCTAAGGCTCCTCAGCACATTGAAGTGTTCTCTTAATAATTGTGAATGCTATACCTCATGATTGTTTTCCTGATTGAGAGTGAATTTTTTTCTTTTGGATTTTGTTTTCATTTTGCTTTTTCACATAACAGCTTTTTCCTTGTGAGTCATTTCATGTGTGTGCCTTCCTTGAGATAAAAAGGTTTTTAAATAAAAAAATCTTTCTTGCATGGTTTCAATGGATTTTTTTCATGTTATAAAGCAACACCACCAGAAAGGAATCCCCATCTTTTAGTACGAATTTGAATATATCTAAATGAAAAAACAAAGCTTAGTAACCCTTGTTTGAGTGTGCTCACGTCCTAACCTGCAGCAAGCAGAGACTGAAACACACCAAACAAAATGCTGAATACTGAAGCAAGCTGACAGACCCAAGTAATTTTCCTCTGAAGCTGCTTGGGTTGACAAGTGAGGAAAGAGAAGAAAAAGAAACGGCAGAGAAAACATTTGATGATGTCACAAAAGAAACCATCCTGCAATTACAAGAGTGCAAGCACAGTTCTAATCCCTCTCCACGTGTCCTGTACCTCAAGTATTGCTCTTTTCATGCTGGAAGCAACACCTTCCCCTTCTCTTCTAAGCAAACAACTGCAAACAGGCTTGAGAGATCCCTGAAGTAGAGCAATTCCTTTTGATCTTTCCGAGGGCTTGCAAACTAAAATGCTCTCACCTATAGGAAAAGAAAAAGCAAACAAACAAACAAAAACATTAATGACCTCAATACTGCATCTTAGCACTGTAACAGCTACATAGAGTTCATCAAGGACGTATTATTGGAACGGAAAACTGTAGGTATGTTTGAAAAAGCTTTGCAACCTTCAACAGTGTATATCTTACACTGCCGTGTGTAAGAGCTCCACAGACACATAATACTTAAGAACTAAAAGCAGAGAAAACTTCAAAGCTACATTAGGCCGGTCAGGGTCTTGCCAAATCAGCTAAGGAGCTTCTGTAGCCTCTCTGTGCGTCTGCTTTGCTGCTCAACCACTCTCACTTCTTGTTCTGAAATTGACTGGAACCATAATACACAGTGGCATCAGTTTGCCTTCTGCGCTACATTATTAAACTGAAATGATTCTCTAAAGCAAGAAGAAAACATAAAAGCTGCACAGCACTTTGATAGCTTGTGTTAAGTCAACCAGCTTCCACTCTCAAAATGAAGTAACACAGATACCGAAGTAATTCAGAAATCCAAAGTTATCCATTAAACTATGCATTCTCTGAACTTTCATATATTCACACACATATATATACACACATACACACACATAATCTTAAGTATCCTGAATGGTTTCCACTGAAAGTACATCTAAATATACCTTACCTTAAAATTCTCTATCAGACATTGTTAAATTAACCTCTAACTACTGAAATTCTGTGGGAGACAAAAAGTGATGAAAGTCAGAACCACAAAACAAAAATAATGATCCAATTCCTTTAATGAGATCATAGTAGAGACTACCCATGGAAAATGCAGTGATCACAGAAAGGAGATTTTTTTTTTCAACAAAACCATTACAGAGAAACTAGGCTCCTGAGAGACCTAGCTAGTTAGAAGCTTTGCCAATTGGCGCAGGATAAATTAATTATGGGTAGGACAAGCTTGCCTTTGACTTAGAGCATTAGATTTGGCTTAGCTGGACAGTAAATACCATGATAGGTTTATGACAACTTGTTAAGGTTTAAGTCTGGACACCAAGGTAATTTTGGTAGTGGGTATCTTAGTAAGATCCTAAGAATGTTAAGTTATGATAAAACCATAGCTGTGGTAATACTACAGTAATTAGCAAATCCAGAGGTAATGAAAACACAACTGCACTTAAATTTAATGAGGGTAATAAATGCCACAAACACAGTGTAGGTGAGTAGCCGAATACAGCTTAAACATGAACACATAAATGAATTACAGAATGAAAGACATGCTCAGAGGATGTGTCTCTGGGATTTTTTTATCCTGCCAGGCAAAACTTTTAACATCTGTTGACCATGCACTTTGCCAGAGCTGAGAGTACAGAAGATAAACTGTCTGTAAGCATTGTTTTGTGCAAGAAAAGCATATTTTCACTTTAGCAATAAAGAACATTCACTCATTTTGTATTTGGGTTCTGATGTGACCTACAATTCCCTCTGAAAACTTTGACTCTTCAGTGTCAAAAATTTAAGAGAAGATGGGTATCCACTTGGCTCGATGTTATCTCACAGTCATTCAAGACTTGGGGGTAACCCTTTCCCAAGATGCCACTGAGAACTTAAAACCAATAATTGCAACCCAGTAAACAGTGGGGGAGAAAAAAGAAAAAAAGAAAAGAAACTAAGCTGTTCTAAGATCCCCTACTGAATGTTTCTATGAGAGTGGAAGTCTAGGTTAGCATCAGACTATAGACAAACACTGTACGACTCTGGCTATCTAGTCATAAAACTCAATTAAAAGCAAAAAAGGCCCTGTTATATTTCTAGGTTTTGTTCAGCTTTACCTATTTCACCTTGGGAACGTAACAGTTTTGATGAATGCAAAAAGAATCCAATTTCATTTTCTAAAATTATGTTTCTAAATTTCCATCAAATCAGAAAAAAAAAATTCAAAATCAGAGCCTGAGACAATCCAACACTACAATGTTGGGAGGGAAGGAGGAAATCAACTCAACCGCATTTATCTTCTGTGTCAGCTGAATTTCATATTCACATAAGACACTTTTTCCAGCTGAAGCTGCTGTCCTCCAGTCTCCCTACTCTGTGAAAGAGCAGCAGCTGTTAATGTAGCTTTATGTTCCCATCCAAAAGACTCTGCGGAGTAGAAAAAAATGGTACATTTTTTTGTACATGAAGCTTATCAGCATAAAATCAACTGCTTACTGTGCAAAACACAGTCACATCAGAACTCTCAAAAAAGGGTACTAATTATTGTAACTTGAAGGGGGAAAAAAAGAAACTTCAAGGAATAATGTAATTTTACACCTGCCAGCTACACTCAAATGATGAAGTCTGGAAATTTTCAAAATGCAGCAGGCAGCTGCCCTTTTCTTTAACACGTAGGGATAGCTCACAGAGATATAGGTCGCAAAATTCTCTGTTGCTATGCTACTCTAGCAAAAACAGAAAGTTAAATGTAAGAACAGGCTGCTTACACAGGGTTCGAGCAAGCACCAATCAAACCATAAGTAGGGCAAATTCCACTTCCCGCTTCTGTTGAACTTCTTATTTTCTACTGTGTTTATACTTGTATAAGACATTTTTTCCAAATCTCATCCATGAAGATAAATTTCCATTGCAAATTAAAAAAACAGGCAGGATTATTTTGTTGAACATCAATCAGTGCCGCTGTATGCATGAAGACACCGTATTATGAACTACTGTTCGTGTTTCCCCATCTCTCTGTCGCAATACTGCTTTCAAGATCCATAAAAGTTATGCTTAAATTTAGCTGAAGTTTAATAAATCCAAATCAGAACTTCAGACAATAGAAGTTATTTGTCAAATTATGGTTGTAGACTTCAAATGCTTTTCTTACATTTTAGGCCTGTCCAATGAGAGTTTACTGCAAATTTTCTCACAGAAACTGTAAATGCTTTAGTAAGCTGACCATGAATTACAGAATTAAGGCAAATGAACAACACAGCCTTAGAAGCTGACAAGAATTCGAACCAGAAAATAGCCTGTTCCTGAAGTAACTGGCACGTAAATACCAAAGTAAGTCTCATGCAGTGAAAAGAATCCCCTGGGAATTACAATTTTTCCTCCATTAACACCAAACAAATTCATCTTGATTAACTTAATCATACCGAATACCAAAGGAATTCATCATGATTAGTCACTGATTGTGAAGCACTGCCCTGGATTTAATCAGGTTAACGCTGTTCTTAGAGACTTCATAGAGCCTCTGCTTACCCTCTGTGTCTACTCCTTTCCTGCCAGCCCTTCCAGCCATCTGCTTGTAAGTGAGAATGTCCAGCAGTTTGCCACCAAACATGGGAGTACGTATAATTACTCGGCGTGCAGGCAAATTCACTCCAGACGAGAGCGTGGAGGTTGCTGCTAGGACCCTAATCAAGCCCTGGCGAAAGCCTCCTTCAATGATGTCCCGTTCATCAAAAGTGAGACCTGAGGAGAGAGGACTTTTAGCAATCCAAGTAATGGTGAGACTGCATGTAAGAGCTAATAACATCACTGCCAAACAAGGGCAAGAGCAAACAAACTTAATAAGCATTCGACATTCAGTGTTAAGAACTAGGTTCACAACACTACCTCAGTTAATTTCTTAAATTTCACCATTAAGTTTTCATTATTTGACTGAGTTATAAACTAGCTTTTCTAAGGTGCTTGTACACATTCTACCAAGCTGAACAACTACTTACTGCATAGCTACAAGCACTGCAAGTAAATAAATAAATGAAATTAAAAGAAGACAACTGGAATTAAGGAACATAGTAGGGAACTAGGATTCAGTCATTTGCTGTCCTGACCCTAGAATCCTCCTTCTTCATTTCCATCCTAGGTTACAGGTCTAACATGTAAATTTCTACATTTCCTTGAGGGCTTCAGGCCAATTTTATTCTTGAGAAAGAAATCCACACTCTGTAAGCACTTGGCATTATTCCCTCTACATATTCAATGCCATAGCTACTGTTCTCTCTCCCAGAGTCAGTCCTTTCTCGCAGTGGGTCAACAGGTGACACACACTATCACCTACTTCAGTAAGAAATAAAAGATCTGGCCAGAAGCATTCTTGGCACACGTTCCTTTTGGTTTTATTTTCATTGTTATACTTCTTCTATGTACTAACCTATTGCAGTATTATGTTGAGGAAAATTGCTCTGAAATACTCTGGCAGCTTCAAGGGACAACTTGAAAACGCTTGGGCTGCAAATCAGCTAATTTTTCAGGAATTTCACACACACACACACACACACACACACACACACAAACCACGTTGTATTTAAAAAGTTGCTGTTATCCAACACAACAGAGAGAAGATTCATAACAACTAGTGAATTAAAGTCTTCAGCCACAATAAAAGAATTTCAAGTTTACCTCTAACTGTGAGATTCTCAAAGCATTTTAGTTCAGTCATAAGCTATGGAAAGCTTCAAAAAGAAACTGGTAAATTGCTGGTAACCACAGCAAAAAGAACCCATATGACTTGACCATTACAGAATTCAAGACCAAGATACTCAGCAATACCTGCATGATGAAATGCCACTCCCCATGGCAAAGTACGTTGGAGCACAGAGTCCAGGCCTGAGATAGACCGCTTCAGCTGATCCAGAACCTCATCGATCCCTTCTCTGTCCACAACAACAGGGGCAAGGGCTGAGTCTTTTGCAGAACCTTGAAGGCGAAAATATTTTTAGTTTCTACTAAAATTATTTCTCATTAAAGGCACTGTGCATACTACAGTCTTCTATTAATTACTTTTTTCTTACTCTCAGCCTGTTGCAAACTGTAGAATTCCCTGGCAATGATGTCTGCCAGCTTCTCACACCAGTTCTTGGATGGACAGAAAAGCAGGACTGAATGGCCATCACAGACTGTCTCATAACACAGGCTCACAACATGGTCTTCATCTCCCTGAATTAAGACAAAATATTTTCAGTGCACTCTCACACCAAATGGGGTTTGTAAATGCTGTCATTCTTCTGTGCCACAGTAGGAATCTTCTACTTCAAGAAGGAAAGAGGAGCAAACAAAGAAAATGGAGCACTGTTATCTAAGTTTCTGTCTTGCTTTAGGAAGTCTAAGCAGTAGTACGACCACACTGTTGAGGACAGCCCTAGACCTACCCATGAGTAAATCTAAGGTTTTATGTCTTGCTTTCATAAATCTGCTTCTGAATGAAGGCCACGCACATGGCTAACAGCAGTGGGAAAGAACTAGGAAGAGCCCCAAGGGAAAACATCTCTCTACAGTAACTAAGGAAGACTTATCAGCTAGGATATCTGAACCAAAAGCATGAGATGTAGTAGTCTGAGCACCCCCAATAAGATGCATCCAGCAAACACCGCTGACCAAATACTGAAAGGTTTTTATGGATACTTATGTAGATGTGCATGCGAAACCCTACTGTTTACAGCTTTTCTTTTTGGTTTCAAGATCCTAAGAGAGTTCCTGCAACTGATCTATTTTGCTTGGCTAAGCCAGACTCAATTCCAGCAAGCAGGTCAAAGGAGGAAGAAAAAGGGAGGCTTATGCTAAGAAATAAAAAGCACTCAAATGCAAATGAAAACAGGGGAGCAATGGCAGGAACTGCATATACACATCAAAAGCTCAGTAAGGATTCAGCCAAAATCAGCAGAAGCGTCAAGGTCCTCAAGTTCGCTTTCTCAGTCCAGTTTGAGGCCCAGAATAGAAGTCTGACAGTCCAGTGACAGATTTCAAGACCAAGAGGATCATCTGGTCTTATAAAATAAGCCAACTCCCTTAAACTGTTGAGTCATAAGCCTAAGTTTAGTTCTTTCTCTCACTTAATTTAGTACCTATCCAAAGCAACTACTTCAAAAAACAACCCAAGAAGGAGATGCAACACCACCTTCTCAATATGACCATATAAAAACAAGTTTCCAGATATTCTTGTCACAAACATTTCCTGTTGTTTCTAAGAGCCTTTTTCTTTGCTGTGCCACCATGCTACTGACATCAGAATGTTTGTGCACTGGGTGCAACTGCATGCAAAATATTCCAACATATTGCTGGCATTGAGCCTGCATTGTCCAACTACTACACTGGAATTAAACAGCAGTTGGAAGGAGAGGGGAGAGAATTCACCCTTCAAAGACTTCACAGAAAAGGAACCTACGAGTAGAAAGTGCAAATTTCCCATTTCTACCTATTTGGTTCTTCCAAATCACTATAGTATGCTACTCTTAACTTTTCATATTCTTTTAAAGTGCACAAATGGACCAAATACTGGAAAAAGATTCAGAAGAGTCAAGATGAACATCTGCCTTCTAATCATTGACAAAATTAGATCATTTAGCGGTTTCACATAAGCAGGTTCAACAGCAGATTTTAATGCAAATATATTCTCCCAATGATCAATGCAAATTCCTTGGCCTACCCAGGAAATACTTACCTTCATTTAGGAAAGTGAAGTAGATACCAGGACACAAGATAGGGTGGTGGGTAAAGGGAGAATCAAACTCTTTATACCTGTCCAGTGCTCAGAAACAAGATAGCTGCAAAGTCAACTTTGCCTTCAAGTCAGATTCAAAAAACTTCAAGATCTTCATGAGTGCGAGTATGTTCTGGGTTCATTTGGTTTTAAATCAGTAGAAGACACAAAATAATTGTCCTTAGTCTGAGTATACAATCTATGACGTAAACAATGAAGTTGGGAATGTCATCTATTAAAAAAAGTATTAAAACATACCAGGAGTTGTCTTTTTAACTTTACTTGTAACAAAAGGTGTTATCCAAAAGCCACCACTTGGAGTTTTGTTACCTTCAGTTGAAGCTTGGGCCGGAATTCTCGCACTAAATTCATGGAAGAGTCATAAATGTTGCTGCCAATTTTCACCCACTCCTTGAGAGGCACAGGGCGAAAATCTGTGCAGTACAGCTCTGCATCTAACCATGAGGCCAGGAGTCCCAGGTTAGGGAGGGTAGCACTCATGCCAACTATCTGTATCCCACCAAAACCAGGATGGGCCTTCTTCGCCTGTCTGGAAGTGGTTAGAAGAAAATGAAAGTTAGTAACAACACAGGCTACTGTTCTGGAAAACAGCATTCAGACAAAACTAACTCAGTCTACTTCCTTCTGGAGTCTAAAGTGCAAAGCTGGTTTTCTTGACAAAGAAACAAGCCATACTCTACTCTTCACAAACATAACGTCAGGCTATGCGTTGATAACAAGATAACTCAACTTTTTCTCATTCTGAACCTAAACTTTAAGCTTCTTTAGGTTACAGCAGCCATAAACTGACTGCATATTTGGAGAAACTGAAACCAAATAAATCAACTATTCCTTTGCCATTAACAAAAAATGGAAATAAAGGAATGGTTCAGTCTCCACTGCAGTCTTTATAAGCTTAAAAGACTTAATTAAAACACTTCCATTTGTTTCAATTTCAGGACGAATAGTACTAGACTAAGGTCTTCCTGGTGCTGGGAACCAAAGCCCTTAGCTCAGCAAAGAAGAAAGCAGCTTCAGTTCTCAAAGTGCTGAACAGCAGCTTCCACTGAAGTCAGTGAGAAGTAATGGGCTCTTAACAGAGCTGAAAACACAGACCATTAATTTAGATACCCACATGTATATTTTAATTCAGGCTTTTACATTCACACAATAGGGTTTTTTTAATGCTCCTAAGCCTACATTGAAAAACTACTCATTTGCATTGCACTAAGCCATAAATTGAGACTTCAAAGAACAAAGTCTGACAAACCAATGGGAGCTCAGAAACAGCCTGAACCTTCTTGGAAGATCCTGCTAATGCCGGCAAAGACAACCCAGAGGAAACAAGACTACCCAGAAGCCAGAGTAAAAAAGGGCAGTCACTGACAAGACAGAAAGAAGGAAGATGTTGAGTTGAGAGGCAGGCTCTTTTATCCAAGCACGTCAAGCATGTGCTAGTACAGCTCCGCTATCTAAGTTGCAGATTTCCCTCTCTGAAGCAACTTTTGACCTCCAAGAACTAACAAAACTCCAGTTTCACAACACTCCCTTTGACTGGGGAGGAGAAAAATCTGCTGCAGAATTTTGGCTGAGTCTGCAAATACCTCACAGAGAAGCAAGGGCACCCACACCTGGCAACAGCCAGAGAGAACATTCTCTTTGTGCAAAGATGCAGCCTTATAATTCAGTGGGACATTCCCCTAGCCACTTAAAAAAGTTCATAAAAGCACTGCTCATTCTTATAACAGGTCAGGCTGGATAGTGTTTAGAGAATTTGGATACAGTGGCTCTTCTTAAACTAAAAAAAGAAAAGGCACCACATACTCGGGAGGCTGTTTAAGAGAGAAAGTGGTCTTCAACTCCAGGAATCTCAAGTGGATTCCAAAACAAAAATAATAGCCACCTCCTTCATTTCAGTAAGGTGCACAGGGAGCCACTGTTAACTTCACCATGCCAGAGAGATGAAGGATCTGGGCCCCAGTGCCTATATGGTGAAGGCTGAAGTATTGTGTCTTTCCAGGAACATTCCTTGATTCTCCTGATTTTCCCTGGCAGATGTTTTCTCCTTCCTGCTTCTTCAGTGCAAGGGAGGAAAGCAAGAGAGTGGTCCTGTATCTGTGCTGCAGCTACACGATAAGCCAAGGTAAAGGGAGTGGCAAAGCCACTGATGCTGCTCTCAAGTGTACTGGCTCCCAGGATTTACAGGGAGAATACGAGAAAAAGTCAGAGGTGATCAGACCCAGACCACCACCTGACCTGGAAATCAGGATGGCAAATATTGACTAAAATGTCCAGTGGAGAGCCAATGTGAACTAAATAGGTTGTCTGTGCTTAGCCCAGCACTGGTACAATTCACAAGACAGGAAGCAGCAGAGAAAACTGGCAAAATCTGGCTCTTGGTGCTCAGGGAACAGTTTTTGACTCTTCTCTCAGCACCACCAGTCAAGATTAAGATCGATATCAACTCCTCCATTTGCCTTTGTCTGCATTTGGGCACTGTGGAGCAACTGGACAGTTTGCTGCTGAGATCTAGATCCTGAATTCTTAAAAGCCTCTAATGCTCTTCCAAAACATTTAACCTGTTCCCCAGAGTCCAACCAGTTGTGGTAACAGCAAGAAATCATGCAACCATAGGCTATCGCATATTATAAGCAAAACCACAGATCATCCTGAGCAGTGCCAACTAAGTGGACTACTGGGACATCCTCTTAAGTCTTTCGATCAATTCACCATTGACTAGTTAACAGCATGCCCACTCTTCCACAATACCTGAGCATTTTGGTAGGATAAATACCCCATTCCATGAAACACTGAAAAAATGAGCAGGGCAAGTCCTCTAGCAAAAAGAAATTAAAAGAAATATGATTTTTTTAAAAAATAGGCTAAAAACATAAATTAAAGTTTCATCCTTACTTCTTTTCTTGAGAGGATGAATCCCACGGTAGCACACAAGTTGAAAATCATGAGGAAAAGAGGTTTTGACTACAATGGCAGGCCCTCGAGAGATGGTATGATGAGACCTTAATAACCAAAATAGTCTAGGTCATCACTCTCATAAAAACCCTGCAGCTAACCCAAATTTCCAGTCACCTAGAGAGCAAACTATCTACAGTCATCCATAATTTAGCATTTAAAGACAAACATCCTGGTCTACCCACCGTTTTGCCACCTTCTCTGTAACATATCTAACTTTGGTCAGAAGGAGTTCCAGCAGATATCCTCGATGAGAGTCTCCCAGCATGTGCAACTCATCCACAACCACCACTCCTGATAAAGAGAAGTACTCAGGTTATATCTGACAAAACTCCAAACTAAGAACAGATAGCCGTGATCATTTCATATTGCACACGATGAACTGAAATCTATAGTCACAAAGCCAGTTGTGCTTACCAACACCACTATGGCTTCCTCCTGTCACAGATTCTTCTAAGAGAGACAAATCATGACCAGTGATTCACATGCCCCACAACCTCACACACACAGTCAGCTTTTAAAAAAAGTAAAAACAATAGTCTTGAGTTGTTAGTCTGACCACCATGCAAAGCTGTATTGCAGCATCGATACTGTAAGTAAAAATACCCAGGCTTCAGAGTATCTGGAAAGGAACATTCCAGCACTCAAATGAGCCAGTCAACTGCTGTTTTAGTTAAAAACATCACTTCTAACTAACTAGTAATGTCAGGGAAAAAACCTAGAACAGATGTAATTATATCAGCATAGCCTGCTTGCTATTATATCTTTTCTCACTAACCAAACCTGAATGAGCTCTACTATTTAACTTTGGCTTTCTAATGAAAAAATCCTTACATGACTGCTCTGTTGTCATCTTACCTCCAGCAAATGACTTTTTAATCTATTATCCACCTCCATCAAATTTGTAAGAGGTCTAGAAATACTGAAAAAAAATTAGTATCTAAAAAGCTTTCTGAATATCAGTAGCTGGAGACAACAAATCAGATTAGAGTCTGCCCAGAGGAGAAAACAGAGTCACTACAACTCAGCCACCCAGCACACATCCCAACTAGCAGCAGTATGTACCCTTTCTAGCCAGCTGACAGGGTCACAGGGACATGGAAGAGGCTGAAGGAAGGTTTAAAGACAAAAAAACCACAATAAAAACCAGGGCATAGAGGGCAGCAGGCTTCATTAATTCTGCTGCTGTGAAGTTTTTTTTTCCTCTTTGGTGCAGCTATGTAATATCTTCCTGGTACAGCTAAAATAGCAGGAGCTTAAGGGCAAATGTGACCTTATATTGTCTGTTTCACTGCTATTTTTCCTTCTCATCTTTTTTCTCTCCTTCCTACGTGTGTTCCCTCTATCTCCGTCTGTTTTCTCCGCCCTTCTCTTTCAAGCCACTTCAGTTCGAAAAGCAAGCTGCACCACTTGATCAGCCTCTTTTACAAACTCCCACCCATCCAGCTCCTCTGTCTTCCTGTACTTCCTCTATTCTGTGCTCGCTTGGGAAACGTGCAAATTCGTTGGTCAACAAATACACATTTATTCAGCTACCAGAAAAGTTTTCTTCCTGCTTGCCCATACAACAGTCTATCTGAATTCTTCCAGCAGCTGAGACAGGACAATGTTATCAGACACCTGCCAAAGTAAAATTCTTACAAGTTACCTTGCCAGTCTTTGTGCCAAGCAGCAGCACGTTTTGCTTCCTGAAATGAAGCACAGAATACCAACTAGTGGTACCCACAGGCTGAAGCACAGGGAATGCCACTATTTGTTGTATGGGTCACTCGTTCTACACCTGCTGCTGCTACTCAGCTATAATGATTATTTAAAACCACGCTAAACCTGTGTGCTGTATTAATTACCCTGGCAGCCTGCAAGCTGCTGAGACCTGACTGTCACACATGCACAACGCTCTCCCCTGTGCAGGCAGTGCTTGGAACACCCCCACTGGGATAACACAGCAGGAGCAATCAGACAACCAGTATTTTCACAGAGCTCTCTGCATCTTAAAATGGAACTGCAGCCAAGGAGGACTACAGGTCCCAGCACGCAGCAGTGTTTTCTACTCAGCAACAAGCTCAGGAGTGCAAGTGAGGCCAGAATTTTGCCATGGTGCCTTGCTACTGAAAATGAGCCTAGTCTTAGTCTCCTCCTGTCTGCAAATTAGGTGTGTCCCTGGCAGACTGCTGAAAAGGAACTACTAAAAAGTACTTGACTTATCATACGTGTTTTACTGTAGAATAACTAGGCTGCTTTAAGTCTACATCCTGTTAAACTAAACATTTCTGAGTGACAGGCAGGAAGGACTTGATATTTTTTTTAATACAATGAAACTAGTATATTTTAAATTTCAAGTTTAAATTAAGAAAAGAAACCAGCAAAGTATCGCAACAGCACATTACAAATCAATTCCTAGCTGACACATTGAGAAGGCAGCAGATTCTTCTCTCATCTGCTTTCCTAAAAATTTCTTTAGCATCAGTGTCAAGAAGTTGAACAAGAGGAATATCGTCTCCTGCGAACCTGGATGTTCAAAAGTGACAGAAGTTATAGAATAATTACCAACACAAAGTTGCTTTCAACTGCTTCGTACAGCAAAGAGAGCTCTGCCAGGCAGAGGATTTGAGTTTCTCTCAACGATTTCCAAAGGCAACGTGAGCTATCTGCAGGGGGTTGACATCAACAAAAGGAACAGCTCAAGCTTGGGAGGGAACCCAGCCAGAACTGCAGTCATCTCCCAGTAACTCATCTCAAAGGATAAAGCACACTCGTTACAAACTGGTCTAAATTTAGAATTAATTAGAAGACGAGGTACATTCCTGCAGTTTCAGACAAGCTTGCTTTAGGTGACAGTAAACTGGCATTTTCAGCTCATGCCCATATTTTGCAACTTGTATGAAAATTTCTCTCCAAATAAAAGACTTAGCAATTTCTTACTTTAAAGATCATTTTTAAACTCAAATTTAATTAACAACTAATTTCAAATAAGCACATAAAGAAAAAACCCCACATTTTTATCCTTATTTCAGTAGTATGGTCACATTGGGGCACAAGGGAAATGGAGGATTGCAGCAGAGGTGTTTTCAAATAATGAAAGAAAAGCATGATGCCTTAAGGAGGTATCAGTGTTGAGGACACATATTCAAACTCAAATCTTGTAATCACATGGCTGTATAAACTTATATGACTCTTCTCAGGTACATTCATCTTAGAGAGCAGAATAAAGTGTAGGGATAGAACAGAGGTACCAACCAAAGGGACTTGGCATATCTCTAGCTTCTGAAAGATGATATCATTAAATAATATGTTTTAGTGTACCAAGTATGCTTCCAAGGCACTCAAGCCAACATAAATATGGACACCGTGAACCCACTCCCTGCCTTATGCTGGCAGTACAGCTTGTATGGTGTGGTGAGCTAGGATCAAACTAATCCTATTTAAAACAAACAAACAAACAAAACCATTGGCCATATATTACAGAATCACAGAATCGCTCGGTTGGAAAAGACCTCCGAGATCATCATGTCCAACCGTTCCTGTCTACCCACTAAACCATGTCCTTAAGTACCTCATCTACCCGCTTTTTAAATACATCCAGGGATGGTGACTCCACCACCTCCCTGGGCAGCCTGTTCCAGCCTCTGACAACCCTCTCAGTAAAGAACTTCTTCCTTATCTCTAACCTGAACCTCCCTTGGCACAGCTTGGTGCCATTTCCCCTTGTTCTATCCCCCATCACCTGGGAGAAGAGACCAGCACCCACCTCTCTACAACCTCCCTTTAGGTAGTTGCAGGTGGTGATGAGGTCTCCCCTCATCCCCTCATTATTGAAATAACTAACTGCATGACCATCAGTTCTCTTGCAAGGGAAAGGATGTAGATATTCATTCAAGAATTGGGCTGGACTGCAGGAGCCTCAATCTGAATGAGCTAAAAATGCTCCACAACCATGGTCATCCATTCATCTTCCAGACCACTGGCAGTCTGAAGCATTCATTCATGGTGATCCAGCCCTTGTAGATCCAGGTGTGAACATGATATCCCATGATCTCACACTCTGTAAAAAACCTGCAAGGTTTTTTGTTTTATATCTCCTCCCAAACACTAAATGAATACTACCAGTATTTATGGCCATCGGGGTCATCATGACCCACAAGCCTACGTTAAAGACAGAGGGCTTCTGAGCAAACTACAAGAGAGAAATTAATGTCACAGCCCTCCTAGTCACCACACCTACCCAGAGGAACACTATGTATTTGTTCCCTTTCTCTGAACCCAGATGAGCACCACACACAGTTCCTCCTCCTCCTTGAGCTAAGTGAAGATAAACCATGGATGCAGTATGCACACAATCTCTGTCCCAAACCAGCCAACCTACAAACATGCATACATTCTCAAACTCAAACATATCCCAGATCTTTAACTCAATTTAATTAATTAGAAGACAGTTTCCAGCTATGGGAAACACAGCCTATTGCAGCTAATCACTGTCCATGGATTGTCATCCAAGTCAGACAAACTAAAACCTACAGCTTCTATCTACTCACCCCAGCCACTAAGCTACACAGAATAGTCCTGACTGCCTTCCTAAATCGAAATCAGAGGTGTCTGGGAAGAAGAAAAACTGCTCAGTTTTCCTATATGGCAGGTCTGTCACATACAGAACTGAGTAAATACAAAGTATCCCATGATTTCACATGTACTCAGAGTATGTAATAAACCTCATCCCCCGAAACAGTCAAGCCTTAGTATTTTACCCAGCAAGTCCATTTTGTTTTCTTCTATCAGTCTGTTGATCAGACCATTGGCTTTCTCAATGGTGCAGACAGCAACATCTAGGGCAGAGAAACGTCCAGCAGGAGACATGCTTCCCATGTAGCCTTCAACTCTCACATCCACCTCCTGAAACAGGGCCTGTTTTCCAAAGACACAGAGTGAAATGTCAACATTACAACTCTAAAATTGTGACCAATGCCTGCTGGAATCACATAAAAGCCTGCATCCTACAACCATAACTTCTAGTACTTATAATGCCAACTGATCAGATTAAAGCCAGAGCTCAGCCCATTACTGCTACATTTTTTTTCCCCGCTGTCATTTATTATTTCCAAAGCAGAAGCCACGCAGTACACATGGCAGGACAAAGTGTACATAACTGAGCAAGAGATGCGGACCCCTGCTTTGTATAAAAACATTTATAAGTAAGAAGGTTAGAGAACACACAGTGCAACGGTTTATAATACCAGTGGGTTACGTGCAAAGAAGACTGGCTCCTGATAAATCTGGGGCAAAAGCCAAATGTGGGACCCCAAACACAAAGATGTCCCATCTCCCAGATGGAAGTCAAGAAATGATGACTTTTCTTCCATGACTTATTACTGCAGAGTCAAAGCTTTGGCAGATTACTCACTGCATTAACAAAAGGTACAAACTGCTGAAC